GATTCCATGTTCTCTGGCACTCCAAAAATAACAACCCTTTTAATATTGGGTATGTTAACTCCCATTCCCAGGGCACTAGTAGCTATTACCAGGTGAATATTTCCATTGGGAGACATTAAATCAGACAGAACATTATCCTTAATGTCTTGAGGGGTCTTTGAGTGATACATGGCCACTTTACTTTTGCATGGAAGAAAGTGTTGAAAGGTGTCATAAATGTCACATGCTTTTAATGACAGACAGAAAACTACTGTTTTTTCAGCATGCGCATTGTTGACCATATCACTGATAAGCCAACCAAAGGTATCCTGCAGTTCATTCTTAGCCTTTTCGACAATGTATTTGACATTTCTTTTGTCAGGTGACATCCTGATGGTTTTGACAGATGTCATGTTTAACATCTTAATGATTTTTTTCCTTAACATTGTGCTGGCTGTCACAGTAAGGCAAAGCATTAGAACTTTCAGAATGGCTTTTATGTTGCCGACTCTAGAATAAGCAGCACGGAAAGGAGCTTGGCCATGACTACCAGTCCCCCTGAAAAAGTGTGACAGGAATATTACCATGTGAATAGAGCGGTTCTCATTTGCGTATTGAAAAATGATAGGTTTTGTATCAACTATGCAGGTTTAATTTGCTACACAATTGATTTAAAAAACCACTTTTTCATCTAATCGAGTAAAACCAAAACCAAGTATGACTCATTCTCATACATTTTCACATGCTATGCATCAGCTACAAGTAATTACTGCAAGTTTTGATTGGTTTACTGTACTGTCCATGTCCTTTGTTTTACTTTGGTTTTGGTTTTACGGCACTGAATTCAAAACCGCTCTATCCACAAGTCATAATATTAATAAGTAATTGATGTTGATTCATTGTAGCAAAGGTTAATTCAAGCCAAATGAATAATAAAAAGTATGCCTAGGTATAAATAAAAAGTGCTTTCTAGTAACTTAGTTTATATGTCAAACCAAAATATTATCATTATGATTAAATTATCACGCATATACAAACATGATGCCATTTAATTCTTGGTTTTATTTACTTTATTTCACGTTTGTGCATCTAAGACAATAACAATGAACCAGTAAAGGATATATAATCTAAATATAAATATTACTCGTGATTTGCAAGAAGTTGAAAAAAGAAAAACAACTCACCAAGTAACCAAACAATGCGTTTCATCAATAACGACGCCAAAAATATTTTCACTCACATTTGACAAACATTCGTAGTGCTTTTTCATAATCTCTGGACTAGAAAACAACAAATCGACGGAATCGCCATCTTTAAATTCCTCGAGCTTGACACATGTTAAACCAAAAATCTCACAAGATCGGATCTGATCTTCGATCAGCGCAGTTAGTGGTGACACAACTAACAACATCGGACGGACAGGCAAAGAATACCAGAGTTCAGAGTGCTTTCGCAACTCTTTTACGAGCGGAATCGCAAGTTGATAAATAAGACATTTTCCGTGCCCGGTGGGCAAAGGTACGAAAGTATCTGTCCCAGATGCGAAAGCTTAGATCATACACATTTTCAAAGTTGGAAACAACACGAAGCAGAGCATCGTCAAGCGTTTTCGAACGGTCTCCTTTTGCCGGCCCTTTCGCCGCCATTTCTTACTTGTTTGCAGTGGGCTCATTTTCGACCATCGGTTTCTCGTAAAAATTGATGCTCGCGCTAGAAAAACCAGTTTGACGACGTTAAACCGGAATGACTAGCCCAAGAATTGGGGCTACGGCGACTTCAAAAGATAAAGCAGATTTGTGCAGAGCCTCTTTTTCCGTGTAATAAGAAATAAAGCAAAAAGAAATAAAAGAGGCTCTGCTCGCAGAGTGTCGGCGCGTCGGGTATGTTACGGGTCAATGGGTGAGTGAGTGAGTGAGAGATGTAATGTATGTCACACCAATCAGATTGGATCCACTATGAACAACCAATCAAATTTCTTGTTGTAAAGGTAAATGGTATGCGAGAAACACAAGGTATGTATAAACACAAGGACTTTGGTAATTGAAAAATAAAGAGTGACGTGTATGTTGCCGGTTTGTGATTTTTAGTCCGGTTTGGAGGGGAGTGTGACAGTCACATACGTACATTGGGTTGTTTTAGAGTGCATGATTTTCAGTGTAATGGTAGCTAGTTATGAACGAGACGAGTCTTGAGTTTTGAAGCAGTTCATGAGTTAGTAGTAGACAAATGGCACGAGATTTTTTTATTTTTAATTATACAGGGTAACTTGATACTTTTGTTTTTCACAAGGAGTTAATTCAATTAGAGGTCACGAATCGTCGGTTCTAGTTCTCAGGAAATGTTTTAGAGGAGACGAGACTATTTAGACTTGAAGCAGTTCTAACATTTACAATAGTAAGTGCAGGTAACGATTGTTTTGTTATTATTGCATGCAAATATAACGAGATATTTTTATTTTTTAGTTACAATGGGTAATTTGACACTCTTGTTTTTCACAAGGTAGTAAATTCAATCAGAGCTG